CCTGGAAGCGACTGGTCTAGTGGAATCCGGAGTTCCTTGAGTGCTGATTCAAATTGTGGCGCATCATCCGAGTAAGCGTTGGTGACCTTTCTCTTACCGATATAGTGCTTCATTGCCTGCACCACTTCGTCACTATTGCTTGCTTTCAATGGATAGCCCCATATCACACCAGTGAACCGATCTCGAATCACCAGTACATCCTTATCCGGCATGATCCCATCTCTCGCCATCTTCTGAGTGTTCATGAGATCGAAAGTGATAAGGTCACCGAATGCCTTCAATTTTCGTTTGAAAGCTCCCTTGCTAGTCTTGTAGTGCTTCATCTTTGCTCTCACACATGACTTGCAGTATGGGTTCTTGTATCGGTGCGTCATCAAGTGCAATATGGATTTCGCCTCGTTCTTCAGCACTCCTGGTTTTGATAGTCTGGCTTCCCCGTCAACCACATCGACTTCCAATAGTCCCTCTTCATCTTCACCAATGTCACTCTCCTCTCGTTCAGAATCCGCATCACCTCCATGTTCGTCGTCTCCGGCTTCTTCAGGTTGACCATCGTGATCACGATCGAATCTCGGGTCTTCCCCGTCATATTCCTCTTCAGGAGAATACCTGTCATCACCGTGTTCCTCTGGTTCTCCTTCGACGCCTGCAACAGCTGGATTGATATCAGATTCACCATTCCGATCTCTCTGGTTATCTTTCTTCTTTCTCCTCCGTCTCCGTGGTTTCTTGGGCGGAAGTTCCTCTTGTTGTGTCTCCTGACCTGCTGTGGCCTCGTCTTCATGCCCCACACCTGACAGTATGCGATGAAGTATCGTAGCCAAGCCGTCTGGTCTTGGTAAGCATCTCCCGTCATCATCGTTCACCTTGATGTAGGGTATGTTGTCATGCACCGATAGCGGAATCTTGTTCGCGTTCTGGTCGATGAGGTATGGCAATTGATTTGCCGGCCATATGAATGAGTACCCTTGTTCCATGCACCGTTTCCCGATGGAAAAGACTGATGGTGTGCTCTCCAATACGTGTGCCTCGGACTTCATGGGTAGTTCGTCCACATTGATGTCCACCATCTCTGATGTACTAGTTACACCATTCGCTGTCATGAAACTCACGGATTTGGGTCCTTCCTTGGTGGTAAGGCCCATGGCATTGACTTTCTCTCTTGAGATCAAATCGTGTCCACATCCCGTGTCCATGATGAAGCGTATTGGTGGTCCATCATACCTCTCCACGGCCATGAACATCGTGTCTCCTGGTATCGTGTAGTTGACAGAATCCTTCCTTACTACCTCGCTGGTGTTGAAATCAGACAGGTCGACGTTCACCTCGATTCCTTCATCTTGAGTGATTTGTATCCATGCCTTGGCAATGTGTTCAGCAGAGAATAGCTCCATCATCTTACCTTTGGCATGTGCTACTCGTGCAGCTATATTGCTCACTCTGAGGGCTCTCAACGACGAAATGAACTCGGTATCCACCTTCTGCACTTCATTCTTCTTCTTCCTGAGGGGACGGGTGTTTAGCTCGTTACCAGGGTCGCAGGTGAACGTGGTCACGTTCGCCTGGTCATCAAATCTGACTTTAAAGCGAAGCGCCAGCTCACCTTGTTGTACGTTGGGAAGTGCGGGTTGTACGTCCTCGTCATCACTCTCGATGTCTCCGCAAAGCATGAAGGCTGGCGCAGCCGGTTTGGGCTTGGCTTTGCCTTTAGCCTCCTGCTTTGTAGCAGGAGCAGCTTGATGCTGACGTCGACATTTGTCCCCGAACTTGCACGATCCTTTCTGCCAATTCCAACAGACCTGATCCTTCATTGGCTTAGGGCTACTGCTCCTGCCACCAGGACTCTTTGATCTGTCACCCTTGAGGCTTTCTGGTTTCTTAGCAGAACTTTTGTGCTTCTCTTGGTGACTAAACTTGCATTTGTCTCCTCTAGAACATCCGTTTTTCCCATGGAAGTGGAAAGCGCATCCTATCTTGGACGTATCTGCTGGAGTCGCTGACCTGCCACGATCCCCCTTTGGGCTCTTCGTGGTTGATCTTCCACGATCCTGCTTCTTGTCCTTCTTGTTGTGGTCCTTCGGATTAGCCTGAGGAAGTACTGGAGCGGCGTCATGTTTCGGTGGATCGGCCTTGGTATTCTTGGGCTTCGCTTTAGGGTCCTTCTTCTCCGCCGCTGGTGTGGCTTTCACGATGTTCCCAAAAGCTTTTTCCCTTTCTTTCTTGTTTGTGGTCTCGATTGATTTCCGTATCCACTTCGTCATGATCTCTCGTAACTTCTGGTAGGTCTTATCCGGATCCTTATCCAACATGTTGTCATACACAGACAAGTCTAATGCCATAACTTTGGAATCCTTAATCTTATCCCAAAGCAGGTTGCGAAGTGCTTTGTCAGGAAGCATGTCATCCGCATCCATACCTGATATGATCTCATCCCACTGTCCAAGGAATCTGGAGAGTTGATTATCCCCAGGGAACTTTAGATCGAATAAGTGCTTGGATGCATACATCACATCAACGTTGTCGGCACTCCGGAAACTATCGACGATCAACGCTAACATTTCTCGTCCCTTGACCATTCCAGGAGTTGTGCCTCTCGCACGTCTCTGCATCATCTGTCTCACCTTCAGTTGTACGTCATGAGATCTCTCACCTGCTGCGTGGATGATCGTGTGTAGGGTGATACCTAGCTTAGCGTCTATGCTAGCGAATCTTGCCTCGCCTGATGTCTCGAGTAGAAATGGGTCATATGGTGATCTGAAGGCATCCGAGAGCCATTGGATCCAGTCTTCTTGTTTCTCGTCGCCCGATGCCGTCACGACTGCCGCAACAACCTGGGATTTCCAAACCTCCAGGTCGTGTATCTTGGGCCATGCAGGGATGTTGATCTTCTCGTGTTCCTTCCGAGATATCTTGGAGCCACCTGAGCTGGAGGATGAAGCGGCACCATGTTCGGTTGCGGCTGCATTCTCTGCACTCATGCGCTCCTCTTCGTACCTCTTCCGGTACTTATTCCTCTCATCTCTGAGCCGTGATGCATGCGCTTCGAATTCCATCATGTCCTGTTGGTTCTGCATCATACCTTCGTAGTACTCAATTGCCTCGTTCTCCTCGGACCTTAATGACTTTTCAGTACGTTCAAGTTCCGCTCTAAGCTTGGTCATCATCTCACTCTCCACATTGGGTTCTGATCCCATGTCTGGTGGTTTCAACTTCAGTGCGACCTTCAATTGTGCTTCACTTGCGCTTGATTCGATCAATTCTTCCTGAAGACGCTTCAGCATCCTCTCTTTACGTAGAATGTCCTCTTCCAACATGTTCACCTTGACTTCGGCCTTCTTGAGTTCGGCGTTGGATGGTTGAAAAGGTCGATCGGATCTTTGAATCCTCGTCTGAGTCAACTCCTCGTTCGCCTTCTTCAATTGCTCTCTGATGCTCAAGATGAACTTGTCCTGAGTATTAGATCGGTTGTTGAGCTCCTCATTCTCTTCTGATAACCATTTGATCTTGCTTGCATATATTGCTTCCCTCATCTTCATCTCTTCAGCATATTCGTGTTTGTTTCTGGCACTCTGCCTTTGTAGTCCAACTAACTCCTGTCTACACAGATCCTTGACGTTCTCAGCATCTGCGATTGTAGTCATGATCTCGGTTACGGCTCGATCTCTTTCCGCCGATATAGCCTGGATCTCTTCCGTGCCGATGTTCACAACTTGACTAACCATCTCTGCGCTGTTGCGATCAGCGTACTCCCCTAACTGGGTGAGACGATCCCGCATTGCCACACGATCAGTGTCCATCTGGTATTGCAGGTCGTGTGCTGCTGAGAGCAAACAGTCTCTGGATTCTGTAAGTTGGGAGATTCTTCGTTGATTTCCATATCCTTCGACATAACATTCTTCGAGGTGTGCCATCACTACTTCGTGGACTTCGGTCTCGTGTTGTATAATCTGGTTCTGTCTCTGCTCACATTCGACCATCCATGCGTTTTGGTGGTTCAACATATGCACTTCGGCAAGTAGTTGCGCACACTTCGCATTCAGGTCTCCATCGGCCCGTGCTAGTTGTAGGTTGTCAGTGCTTGCCCTTGCTCCATCTCCAGCTTCGCTGTCCGACGGCACTGGTACAGCTGACCCATCCTCCAATGCTAACACTCTCACAGCTCCGGTGTCAGTCCTCCTCCTTGTCTCCCTAGGGCTACGGCCTGATCTCGGTGTCCCCCCCGGTGGTGTCGAGTGCGCTGACGGGGAACGACTTCGTGCTCTACCTGTCGCATCTTCTCTCACCGCTGTCAGAGTCTCCGCTTCGATCGTACCTGGACTAGAGTTGTGGGATGCACTCATCCGATCTGCGGCCGCAGCAGCTGCTCCAAAAGATGCAGTGCTGGCGTCGGATTGGTCCATCTTCAGTGACTGAGGGTAACTGATCTATCCGGTGCGTGTGCGTTTAGATGGTGTTGTGTAAGGCCGCAGCTCGTACCCAGCTCAAGGGAGTCTGGATACGGCTGATAACCTGTGAACGGATGGAAAGGTGTGCCCTGGCCCCGTTCTAGCTCTTAGGTCAACATGAAGCTCGCGCGCTAAAGCTCCTTTTTACCTGGTTGGGCACTTGAGCCAAAAGTATATGGCATGTACCTGTATAGCGACTATACTGGGACCTCATCCCTATTGACAGAAAATCTCCGGACTTGGAATGAGTCACCCCAAAGCAACTGAGACCATCCATTAGAGGATGGAAACAGTCACTGGTGACACCATGGTCACCATGGTGACACCTCTCACCACTCCCCATCCGCATCATCCACATCCTCTGTATCTAACAATACCAACCCACCCACTCTTCCAGTCCAACACTCCAAAAATCCACGACTTATTACTCCAAAAAGTAACTCCAAGAAGTCTACTGAAGACCGCTATCACACCTCTCAGCTCTCTCTCTCTCTAAAAAAAAACTAAAACAACTCCACAACACGCACCTCTCACTCAACACGTCGTCCAAGAGGCACTTTGATGCCCAGGAAGCCCAAAGGCCCCACCTTGGGTGCTCCATCGATGAAGCCTTGGGCGTTGATGAGCACCATCTTCTCCACTGCCTGGTGTGGCACTCGGCAGTGGTACGTGGAAGTGGAAGACCAGGAGGGCAAGGCTCGGGGTATGTCACTTAAGCTAGGCAGCTAGTCATGAGTCATAAGAAATGAATCTGTACATCTAGTCACGTCTCCACGAATCGAACATCAAAAAGCTCTGAAGCACTTCCGACTGCAACCAGGTCTTTTGCAAAACCATCCCGGTCTGCTCCCCGCAGAACCGGGCTGAGAGGTGATCGCGGCGCCTGCGGATGCGCCACGGCAAAGTCCATGGCGATGCCTCCGCCCAGCGAAGCGCCGCCCAGGACCATGGGCCGTCCACGCAAGTGTTGGGACCAGAAAGCAAAGAGGTGTTCACCTTGGTCAGTCAGTTGGGGCAAAGGCTATGGAAAAGCCAGTAGTAGTAAACTGGGCACAGGGATGATTGGTAGGCGTTGGTAGGGATTATTGGCTGTTCTTAGCGTTTACGTGGCATATTCAAAGAGAGAGATGGAGAGAGGGGAGTGACCCTGTAGTCTTTGTTGTCGGCTCGACGCGGAGCAAGCAAAGTGAGGTTGGTGTTGTTGGGTGGAGGGTGTAGTGGGTGTCATCGGTGAAAGCACTTGACAGGATTAAAGCCAAAGGAGTTCCTTGCGGCAGTGGGCGAGCAGCGGATGCCAAACTGATTTGAGCGTCCACTCACAAGCTATTTCGCTGTAAGCTACCAGTCTAGATGCGCCCCAAAGCATTCCCAAAATCCAACTAGTACTCCCCTGCAGATTTAACATGGAACCCCAAAACCACTGGGTTGTAGAGGAAAATGGTCTTGCACCGGTAAGTTCTCAGGTTCCGTGCTAATTTGCGAGAAAATAGGTTTCATGTTAGCTTGCGGTGGGGGGTAGTCTGCCAGTCTGCCCTGACCCCCAAAATACCGCCGCTCCCGAGCGTATGCCCGTTCGGCCGAGGCACGCTTCGCCTCGGGCGAGAAGTCGGTGACCTCCTCCTTCCCTCCAAAGCCCCACCCTGGCCGAGGTGTGCTTCGCGAAGCCGACCGCATCACGTGAGTCTATACAGACATCTATACTGTATAGACCTTTCTGGCTGGCGCTATCCATGCATTTCGGACCAAGGAATGGTTAAAAGGCCAGGCATGTTAGTTGGAAAAACGGGGTGTGAACATTTGAGAACCATCTGCTGACACCCAAAAATACCTCTGATCTGCTTGGTGAGTGGAGGGCTGCGGCTGCCATCTCATTTCTGTTGCTGTAAGATTTGGGAAGTTTATCAGCTGTGCCTGTAAATGGATTGAACAGTCCAGTTGAAAAACCAGCTAGATACCAGCATTCCCAGCTATATCTCGATCTAGGTAATATGGATGAACGCTGTGTGCATGCAAGCGTCTTGGACTCGAGCTCGGTGGAATGGACATGGAAAGCCGTGTTCTTTGTGTGCTTTGTTAGTCGAATAACTTCAATAACGGTCAACCACCGTGAGTACCTCCCCCTTCCCCACCATCCGACAGCTCCCCCGGCTCAGCCTAAGAGGTCCAAGAAGTAGACCTGCACAGTTCACATGCCCGCGACCCGTGAAGCCACCCGTGCCCCTGACTCAGGTGGTCAATGGGTTCGGTATGGTTCGGTTCATTCACCACCTTAAGAGCCTCCAAAAACCACAGAAGAGCCTTCTTGCAGGTCTTCCTTTCTTCCCTCTCGCAGCCCGCCTCGATGCCAGCTTCATCCATTGCGGGCAAGAGCCTTCGGAACTCCAGGGCAGAGCTATCAAAGCCGTGGAGCAATACCTGAAATGACTTTTGGGACGTCGCGGCCCGTGGTGGAAAATTGGGTGACGTGGTTGTTGTTGTTGTTGTTGGTAGAGACAAAAACAGCAGCCCAACATAGTTGTCACAAGTTGCAAGTCAGGGATTTCAATGGGATTCTGTTAGGGATAGGGTCGAAGGTTTGGAGAGATGTTAGTAGCTGGACTTTTTGTCGTTGTGGTACTCAAGTCTTGGTTGGTCTGCTTCTTGTTTTTTGTTGTGTTGTTTTGGGGGAGGGGGGGGGTCAAAAAACAACAACGGGGTCGCAGATTTTGTTTCTAGGGGGGGGGTAGAGACAACAACATCTTTTGGAAGGGGGGGATCCAAAAAACAACCACGGGGTCGCAGTTTTTGTTTCTAGGATGTGGTAGAGGTTCTAAGTAGAAGTTTTGCAGGGTTTGCTTAACCAGTTACAATAAGCATCACCAGTAGCATGACCCTCAGACGAGTTTCATAGACCCTAAGAAGGCGTTTAAATCGACCATATTGTTCCATTGGAATCCAACAACTTCCAGGAGTCTCCAAGAAAAGACGGATTTTCAGTGCGTAGATTGAGAACCGGGTTTCCATCCCCTCCGCCTCCACACACGCCCCGTGCACTGTCCACATCGACTACACTGCCATTGGGGTGTAGTAGTAGTAGTAGTAGTAGTAGTAGTAGTAGTAGTAGTAGTAGT